TCTACTGTAAACACTTGATTGTTCAAATTGTGGGGCTGGAAGAAAGCAGAGGTATTTTATTGTTAGGTAGCCTTGGAAGAATTAGCGGTAATTAATAATGCCACCGTGTTTCTTACTGCCAGCATTAACCTCGTGTAGGCAACCCTCAGACTGGGAAGTAATTTAGAACATGAAATTGCTTTAGAAAAATTTCCCTGAGTAGGTTAATCTCTCTATATCAGGTTTCTCAGTCTTGGCACTCTTGACATTTTTGCCTCGGTACATCTTTGCCGTCGAGAACTTCCCTGTGCATTGCTGGGATGTTTAGCCGCATCCCACTAGATGAAGGTAACACACACACACCCTTGCGACGATGAAAAATGGCTCCTAACATTGCCAAACATGGGGGCAGAGAAACAAAATCCCCTTGGCCCTCCAGCCCCTTCTGAGAACCGCTGGTCTTTACATTGCTTTTAACAATATGACTTAAATAATAAGATTTTTATTCAAAAAAATTTTTTTAATATTTATTTCTGAGAGAGAGAGAGAGAGACAGAATGCGAGTGGGGGAGGGCAGAGAGAGAGGGAGACACGGAATCTGAAGACACACAATCTCCAGGCTCTGAGCCGTCAGCACAGAGCCCGACGTGGGGCTTGAACTCACGAACCGCGAGATCATGCCCTGAGCTGAAGTCGGACGCTTAACCCACTGAGCCACCCAGACTCCCCAACAATAAGATTTTTAAAATGCTCTTTGTTCTTGGAATTACTCAGATAATCATTCCTTTAAGGATAGGTTTATATAATTGTGGCCTGGGCTTTGCTGAGAGGTTTTCTCTCCTTGCCATGTTGAAAACCAATGCTCGTCACATCCAGTCGGTAAACTTAATGAAAAGAAGACAGAGGAGAATATCGAATCTGCTGAGAAGGTGGACATGGCAGGTATTGTTAGTGATACAGAAATAATAGGGGGTGTTCTGAATGGTAAAAAGTCAAAGTATGTTGATGAAAAGTCATAAAGAGGACGATTTTAGTGAAGCCTTCTTCAGCTTTTGAAGGAATTAATTAGAAAGCCAACCATATTATCTTGCCGAGAAAGGCCTGCATTTTCACATCCTGCTTTTCAACTTTAAGAGCTAGAGACAAATGACAAGTAAACGCGTTGTTATCTGTAGTTTCTTTAAAAAAGCGATTTCCAGGATATGTCGTGGGCACAATGCGGCTTCAGCTTTCTTCCTGTCCCTTTTACATCTGTGGTTCTATAAAAATGATAATTGATGGTCATTTACGACACTGCATGAGAAAGAAATGTCCACAAAAATGAGATTCTGTGTTCATTCAGATGGCATACGTTGCACTTCTCAAGTGTCATGTTCTGTGCAGGGGTTACGGAAAATAATAAAACATGCTGCTTGGATGTTTCATTAAAATAATTCTGTCTGGATGGAAATTTTCCGGTCAGGGGATACCAGTCTATTTCCCACTTTTCCAATTGATTCTATCATTTTAAATGTCTGCCTGTAAAAGCTGTTTAAAAGGGTGTGGGACTATGTGCATGCTGTATGTCATGTATATAATTTAATTCTTTTTAAGGCTATTTCTGAAATTAGTAGAAAGCTATATTCATTTTCTTTTATGCTTGTAAAAATCTTATTTAAATGATTCTCTTTATTAAATATCCATGAGAGTTGAATAAAACATGGTCATATATTATTCATTTTTGGTTATACCATGGCTCTAATATCATTAAGAGGAATTGATGTCACCCTTGAGGCCAGAACTTTTGCTAATTGTTATAGGATTTAAAACCATTTGGTTGACGTGAGCATTCAAAAAGCAGGATCTTTGTTAATATGGTAGAGTCTTCAAACTGTTTTCTTGTTCAGACTGATCAACTGAGATTATAGGCATGGTAGTGAACAAGTGCAATCTTCATGATACCGGGTAGGCCAGAGTTAGAAAAATAATTTGGGAGGCCCGGCTGGTTCAGCTGGTGGAGCGCGCGACTCTTGACCGCGGGATTCGATCCCCATGCTGGGTACAGAGCGTACTTAAAAAGAAAACCTTAACAAAGAAAAAAACAATAACAATTCCACACGTAGGAAGTTAGAGGTAAATAGCAAACGCGGAGTTCTAGGGCTTGCAAATCTTTTCTTCCTCCTTCTTCCCCGGTGTCCATTTTAGCAGTCTGCATCGTGAACGTACAAACCCATTCACAGCCATGGGCTCCCTGCTCTTAGATGATTCAGAGACACTTCTGGCATCGTGTACCTAAGGAAACGCAGGCCTGCTTAGTCTACGATAATAAAAGGTGGTACTGTGGTAATCAATTTTTAGTGTTACCTGGGGCTCCCTATTAAGTAGTTTGCATATTCTCTATGAAGACTAACTGACCTGGGGCGCCTGGGGGGCTCAGTCGGTTGAGCGTCCCACTTCGGCTCAGGTCGTGATCTCACGGTTTGTGAGTTTGAGCCCCACGTCGGGCTCTGTGCTGACAGCTTAGAGCCTGGAGCCTGCTTCGAAGTCTGTCTCCCTCTTTCTCTGCTCCTCCCCCACTCGTGCTCTGCCTCAGAAGTAAATAAACATTAAAAAAAAAAAAAAAAAAAAAAAAAAAAAAAAAAAAAAAAAAAAAAAAAAAAAAAAAACTAACTGACCTGTTGAATGCCAGGTCCCCCAGTGCTTTTTATGGATCCTGAAAAATTATTAACGTAATACGTACATGGGCATAGTTTGCATTTATTATTCCCACTTTTTATTTCTTGGAAAAGATGGAAATGCCACTAGGCTGTACCTGTTTAACTAAATAATCCCCAAATGATGAATGAGAGATACTGCTAGAAAAAGAAATTAATTCACATATAAAATTTTTGTTCAGTTGGGGGTTGATTGGAATTATAACTCACGGGGGGGGGGGGGGGG